GCATCAAATTATGTCACTTCATATTGCGAATATCCAGCTACACAACTATATAAAAATTATTGAGAATCATGCACAATTGAAGCAGTAATAGGATAAAATATACACAGCAACCATAACTTCCACGGGCAAAAAGGGAAACTAAACAACTTTTAGGAAATAAATTCCCAATGATTGAGGATTAAGGCACACAGCTCAAACCAGTTTACTGTTGCTACAAAGTATGGTAATGGACCTCTCTTTTGCAAAAAAATCAGCAAGATATAATGTTGTTTAATGTGAAAATAGAGTTCCCAAAATTGTCATACCTGAGTAACTTCTGTCGTCAAACATCACTCCTGCTTCACCCTTCCACAAATTGAAAGTGGTCGTTTTATTCCAAAATTGGTACATCACAGCTGTAGGAGCTCTGAGTAGACTAACCATGATATGCAGAATTCATTTCTAGTATTTATTTTAAAATCCAACTACTTCCCACTCGAATATTTGGCCAGTAATTTATATTGACTTAAATTTTGACCCAGCCATTTTCGCAAACAAAAAAGTGTTCCATTTTCGCGCAAAGCATGACTGTATTTTAGAGCAATACAAGTAAGAAGACAATGTTAAAAGAACATATTTACAAGTTTTCAGCTAGGAATGTAAGCATGTTAATTTAGCTGCTTTAACTGCTAGCCTGGATCGCAACATACTTTTGGAAAGTTGACAGAGGATTATGGGATATGTCTCGTACCGTTTGATTTTTTTTAACAAATGATCATGAGGTGGTGAGCTGGTGTTGGTTGCTGTGGCTTTTTTCAGCTAGTCAGAGGTTAAAGGCTAAGTTTTACCTTCTTTGGCCGAGCCCACGAGTGTGATGAGTCATATGCTATTCACGGAAGTGCGCTGACCTCGCAGACATTAGCCTTTTTTATCTCGTTTTTTCCAGTTCTTTGTCTTTTTCCGGGGTTTTTTTTTCAGTTCTTGCACTTTGGCTAAACCAAAAAACCTGGTATTTTCCGGTATACCTCAAAACTGCCCCAGCGTAGCGCCAATTACTCAATATTCTAAAAAATCTCATTGGGCCTACTCGTAGGTTGTTTCTATGTTTTTAACATTGAGTACCCCAGCCTTGTGCAAAAATGTGTTCCTGTTCCTCGAAGCGGCAATGATGCAGAGGACCACGGAAGCAAGACGAGAGTTGCAATAAATAAATTCTTGCGAGAACTGAAATGACATTGAACTGAGCCAGGTGATTATCTATGTAATTAACATGCAGTATTGGCAATACCGTAATGGATGTAAGTTTTTGTATAGCGTTAACCAGCTAAATAATTATGGATAGTATAATCCTTGACCTTGTACCTATGATATGTTTATTAAAATTGTGTTCCTTTATTTGTTGCAGTTTTACTATCTTTGCGTCCAAAATGAGAGTAAAATTTTAAATTAGAGTAGTTTTCACCCTGATAAGGAATAAAATTCACTCCAGTTTTGGTATATTTTTGACTCCCAAATGAGAATAAAATTTTAATTTAGAGTAGTTTCCATCCTCATAAGGAATAAAATTCACTCCAGTTTTGGTATATTTTTGACTCCCAAATGAGAATAAAATTTTAATTTAGAGTAGTTTCCATCCTCATAAGGAATAAAATTTACTCCAGTTTTGGTATATTTTTTACTCTAAAATAAGAGTAGTTTTCACCCTTATAATGTACCGATCAATTTGAAACTTCAACACCGCCCCCCCCCCCTGGCATATCCCGGGAATTTGACTTCAAGTCTTCTCCAGGGAGTAGGGAATTTGATGTTCTAAGTCTTTCATGTAGTGGGGCATTTGATAAGGGTGGGGAATTTGAACCGGATGTCTTAAAATTTTGCCTGTTTTCATGTGCTTCCTGCATGCACAGAAAAGACTTCCCCCATTGGCGGCAAATACAGTTTTCTCAGATTTCGAGGGAAACGGCCTCAATTTTGTGAAAAACTGGCTCAAAGAAATGGGCATGGAAAAGCTATGTGCTTCATTTGAAGGTATGTACTGCAAAATTGTGTGCAAAACTTTTTAAGTGAATTTCGCTATCTTGCCGAAAAACATTTCCGTATATTTTGTACTTTTTGTATTTACTGTTTCATAATTTTCATTTGAAGGTGGGGCATTTGAACGCTTAATTTCTTGTTACATTGGGGCATTTGAAGAGTTTTTGCACAGGGGTGGAGAATTTGATCAGTCAAATTTCAAAAAGTTCAAATTCCCGGGGTTGGCCCGGGGGGCATGTTGAAGTTTCGAATTGATCGACGCATAAGACTCGTAAGGAATAAAATTTACTTCAGTTTTCATATATTTTTGACTCCAAAATAAGAGTAAAATTTTAAATAAGAGTAGTTTTCATCTCATAATTAGGAATAAAATTTACTCCAGTTTTGGTATATTTTCTATTCCAAAATAAGAGTAAAAGTTTAAATAAGAGTATTTTTCACCCTCATAAAGAATAAAATTTACTCCAGTTTTGGTATATGTTTGACTCCAAAATAAGAGTAAAATTCTAAAGTAGAGTAGTTTTTTTCACCCTCATAAGGAATAAAATTTACTCCAGATTTGGTATATATTTGACTCCAAAATAAGAGTATTTTTCACCCTCATAAGGAACAAAATTTACTCCAGTTTTGGTATATGTTTGACTCCAAAATAAATAAGAGTAAAATTTTAAATAAGAGTAGTTTTCACCCTCATAAAGGAATAGAATTTACTCCAGTTTTGGTATATATTTGACTCCAAAAAGAGTAAAATTCTAAAGTATTGTAATTTTCATGCCCGTAAGGAATAAAATTTACTCCAGTTTTGGTATATTTTTGACTCCAAAATTAGAATAAAATTAAATAAGAGTATTTTTAACCGCCCACAGGAATAAAATTTACTTAAAGGACAATGGCAATAAATTTTTTTATTTTCAATATCTATTAAACATACCTACAGAATACTTAATTACGTATTTTCACTTGTCTATCGCATTTAGTTGTTCAGAAATATCATAAAACTTTCGACAGTCGTCCGCCATCTTGAAAAAAACCTGGTATGCTAATTTATGTGAGAATAAATTTGTGACGTCAAGAGCAGGGGAAACAAATATTGTCAATATAAAATAGTATGCGTGCGAACACATTCTACAAAGATTTTGACCAAAAAGTGTGGATAAAGTGCGGATAACTGCGTAAAAATTTAGCGCTACTACTCTGTGTGTTTCAGCTTTGTTTTTAAAATAAACGCGTTGATTTCGGCAGTAAAAGCGCTTTGATTATAAATGATTACCATAGGCATAGTCTGGTACTATGTCAATATGACAATATGCTCGCCTATTTTGTAGACTTTTATATTTACTGCTCTCGGTGATCACGGCTATGACCACATCAACAGGAACAATATCGCATAAATAAACACTATTAATGACTGAGAATATGTTTTGATTCTTTGCAATTCGCGTGTAAAAATCCTTTTGATGTTTCTGTGATATAAATAATGAGAGAACAACTTTGTTTATAAACTAAATTTTAATAAAGCATTAATATATACACCACTGCACTTTATTGGATAATAGAACAATTGCAAATTATAATAACATTTGTTGTAGGAAATTGGGGTTGCATGCTGCACATTATAATAAAGCTGATTGCATAGGAGGAATTAGAGCATCTTCAACCTTGGATTTTGACTCAGCCTTGTTTTAATACTAGGCAGAAATGGCAGCCCTGTCTTTTTATGAAACACTTATTAAACAAAAAAATTCAGCCAAAGGGCTGAGTTAAAAAACAAGGTTAAAATTAAATTTCAAACCTGTTTCGAGCACCCCAGGCCGAGGGCTACTTTATTGAACAAATTCCAACACTGTCAACAGTAAATGAGTTTATCCCAGGCTTGAAAATGCTTCATGTAATCGGTACATACTAGAGTTATTATTAAAAGGGCATAGATTTAGCCAAATTTGAATGAACATTCAAACAATCTCAAAGCCCCAAACCGCTCTCGAATACACAATTCCATTATAGAGTAATTTTAAAACTAGGCAAGGAGATGCAAATAAATCAACACAGCTAGAAAAAGCATACTAAAATGAGTAACATTGCAAAGCATGGTTGCAAAATGTTGTAAAATGCAGAAAACATAGCAAATTTTGTATACTTTTGTATTGCATGCGGAAATTGCTACCACATTTGGGCCACAAATGTAGCAATTTCCGCACACAATACAAAAGTATACAAAATTTGCGAACATTGCAAGGCTATATGTTCCGCATTTTACAACATTTCGCAACTAAACTCTGCAATTTTACTCATTTTTTTTAGTATGCTCTTTCTAGCTGTGGTGATTTATTTGCATCTCCTTGCCTAGTTTTAAAATTACTCTATAATGGGAATTGTCTATTATTGTGTAAACACACACAGGAAGTGGCCTTCTGTTCTTATTCCCCAAAATCTGAAATACCCAACGCAAACATCGTTGGTAAGCTACTAGTCTATAAATTTTGTGTATCTTGTCCAAATCTTTGTCATCCAGATATGGAAAGCGATTTGGTGCAAAATTCAATCATTAAAATTCTACCAGTTTCAACAAACGCCGATCAACATCAACCACTTTTTTCTACCAGTTTCAACAAACGCCGATCAACATCAACCACTTTTTCTTTTTTATAATACATTCAACAAACCGATTCAACGTCAACATTAATTCCGTTTCAAATTCAACTATTCAAAAAGCCTTCTATATCAACACCGATTTTTGTTTCACAACCAAGAAGAGTTTATTGCTTCAGAAGCAACAACTACTAAGTTCAAGATCAACCTTAAAATTTCTGCCAGATTCAAGCAAGCAAAATTTCAATCAACAAAACCCAAAACGCTGTCAACAAAACCCAAAACGCTGTCAACAAAACCCAAAACGCTGTCAACAAACCACACTAGTTCCCAGTCCATTGAGATAAGTTTTCCCGCCATTTTACATGTGGTTCGCTTGTGCTTCGTGTTTATTAAAAATGGCGGGCAATGCAAGTAGCGACGACTTGGATGAAAGAATAAGGAGGTGTATAAGGGAAGAACTTACAAATAATAATGCTGGTGTTGATAGAAACTCGAACCAGACACTAGTAGTCTTCAGCAACATTTGCGTCCAGACAGCTCGGTGGAGTCACTGGAGGACTACCCAGTAGAAGTTCACAGCAACAGAATAGTTCAACGTCGGCGGTTTCTGTTCGTGCTGGAAGAACCGACCGTAACGTCCCATCACATCCTTTGCGTTTTCCTAAAAGAAAGCAAAATGCCCCCGCCAAGAGTAGCAACAAAAAGAATAAACAGACTATTCCAAAAACTGTATATCTGTTAGACAATATAAGTGGCGGGGATGACGAGGATGCGGAGGTGGATGATTACGAATATGCCATTAAAGATGAAATGATTTTGTTGAAAGGAGAGTTTGATTTGGAATGTGATGGTGATGAGGCAAGTATTCAGTCAGAATTGAAAAAGGTGTTCTCAAAAAAATTTCCATTAATATGTGATGATAATTTTGATTTTGTCAAAAGAGACCGTAACACTGTTTGCACACCTGTTGTAAAAGAAGGGCACAAATGGGACTATGCTCATGTGAAGCACTTGTGTGGGGCTGGCAAGCTGTATGTTCGACTAAACACCAACAAAGACATTATAATGGAGGAAGATGTTGGAATAGACTTTGAACAATCACCATTGATTGACTTAAGTCATCCCAGCACATCATCTGGTGAACAATCTATTGATACCAAAATTGAACAATCACCGTTGATTGACTTAAGTCAACCCAGCACATCATCTGGTGAACAATCTATTGATACCAAAATTGCTTCCCTTGCTGCACTATTTTCCAATGCAAAGCAAAGTGATATAACTCATGCAGTAATGATCTATGATAGTCTAGACTCGGCAGCTGGCTATCTTAGTGAAATTTCTAATCTTGAACCAGAAAAACTGACAAATGAAGACAGTGGTGTCTCAAATGCCAACTTGACAGTTGCTGAAATTCTGAAGAAACTTAAAAATAAAATGAATTCCTACTGCACAGCTGAAAAAATCAAGGTAGATAGAGATGATGTGGTTATGGATGTATTTCAACATTACAAGGATTCTAATTTTGATCCCCATGTTCCAGTAAAATTCCAAATTAGAGGAGACCCGCAGTTGATGCTGGGGGTGTCTTACGCCAAGTATATGAGGATGTCTTCCTGAGAATCTTGAAAGGTGATGGTGGTTTTCAACTATTTCAAGGCCCTCTAGACAGAGTTATACCAACATATAGAAGTTCAACTATCCTTTCAGGAACTTTTGAATTGTTTGGTAAGATAATTGCACACAGTTTAGTGCAAGATGGTCCTGGCTTTCCATATTTTTGCCCAACGCTGTATTGGTATATTGCTACTGGTGATTTGCAACAAGGAGTTGCAAGAGTATCATGCATTGATATACTTGACCCAGTTCTTTCAGAGTATGTTAGGAAGGTAAGCATAAGTTTGATTATATACAAAAATTTATAAAGCTACAGATAATATTCCATTGTTATTAAAATCGGGAAAATTTACTTGGTGTTTTCATTGGGATCTAAAATAAGTGAAATTTGCAGTGTCCTGATATCCATGGTATACTAAAAGTTGGTTTTATATACCAAACTGTCAATGACTTGTATACTGATTGGATACTAAAAAAGTTTGAAACATTAGGAAAATGTTAAGCACCTCTGATCAGTCTAGCAGTCTCCTGATAGTTTTTGAATACGAGTTTAACAACAGCATTTCCTCATGAGGACTAGCATATAGAAGTTTGTTGAAGGATTATGTGCATTCTGGTGCATTAATTATTTTAATGAATTGTCTAGTTGCTGACTGCCAAGTCTCCTGTTATAATTGTAATGTGTAGGATAAAGAAAGTTATTGCATCCAGAAGTGGGATACCTGATTCTCAGGGGGTGCTAAAACTGTGAATCATGGTATCCCATTTGGATACGGTGAAAAAAACATTTAATTTTAAGACCCTGTTGATTTAGATTTGTGGTCAAACATGTAAGGACAGCTAAAGGGCACACTTGCGATCTGTGTCCTTATTAATGTTCAGATCAAAATAAAATTGTGTACTTTATAACAATAGACATTTCCACAAAGTAAGTAGAATAAAATGTGTCACTATTTGATTGGCTTTGTCATGAAGTTCAGACATGTTTGCTGTCATTTGATTGGATAAACAATACGCTTGTATAACAAATAGCTAATGGAAGGTAAATATGCATGAATGCTACATGACATCATGTTAAAATGCTTATGTAATAAATGTGTGTGCTGATGATGTTCAAATACAGCAAGGGAAGTGTAACTGTTTTTCATTTTGTAGTGGTTGAGTATGTTTGATGCAGTAAATTAGGATAATAAAGGTTTGTTCAATTTGTTGGTCTGAAAAAAATTTGAATCATTTGTTTTTGTTCAATTGCTAGATAAGAGATGCTACACCAAGCACAATTAACAGCATTATGCGTGAAGATGATTTCTTACAGATAATGAAAAATGCTGGTGAAACTAGATTGCTTCAGGTAAATTTATTTTTTCAACCTTCCTGGTCTTAACCCCTGTAAATTCACAATCAATTTTTTTGCTCAGCTTAATGTGTTCATTGTATTGGAGTTGGTTTCAAATCCTGTTTATAAGTCAATATATAGGGACCATTATTAACATCAAAGTGCAACACGCTCCCCTTGACGAGTAAAATCATGTGTTGTTAGACACTTAGACAGAGTGAAAGAATTAAGTAGGGCATATATGGGTGCGTTGCTGCAGCTTAATGGTTACATTTAATTTGTATATTTGTTTATCTTGGCTGACAGGAGAACAACAAATTGGAGATTGTGCAGTCCCTCCTTGTACATGAAGTGATCTTGAAGCATAAAACAGCCCTTGATCAAATGAGAAAGGGTTTGTCCATCTTAGGATTGTTGGCAGAAATTGAGAAGTCACCAGAGAAGTTCCAATCTTTATTTGTTCATGAAGATGATGATATAAATGCAGAGTTCCTTATATCGCTTCTCAGGTTGCCAGATGCAAGTACATGTACCCCCTCTGTACGAAATGTCGTCCAAATGCTTATGTCATTTATTAATAATGCAAATAAAGAGGTGCTGTGCCAGTTCTTATGCTTTGTTACAGGTTGTAAGTCAAACACAGCAGCTCTTACACCAGGCTGTGTTGATGTGAGTGTAGCAGATGTATCTGACATTTTTGCATCCACATGTTTACTGGAATTAAGACTGCCATCATCTTTTAGTAACCCTGAACAGTTTGATGCTTGTATCAATGCTGTGATTGATACCAAAACCTTTATCAGTACCTTTACAACTGTGTAATAGTTTTGTTTGAACTAGATGTTATGCATGCAATGTAGCTGATGTACAATGTTGCAAGCTTAACCCCAAACAATGGTCTCAACAGGAAACAATAAACATGCCAGGCAACACTTGATATATAGGTAAAATGATAACCAAACAGTAAGATTACACAATCAACCTTGGTTTGGAAATAGTTTGTACAATATTTAAATTGTCTTTAATGGCAATGTATAACAAAACAAATGGAAATAATGGCACTTACATATAACAGTGTTGTAAAGTATATGTATTATGCCATGCCCATTTAATTACTACTTTTGCACATGCATGCTATGCAGAATTTTTCAACATGTTCATTGTGCATTTAGATCATTTTACCAAGTAGCATATTGTTCTTACTGTATCATGTTGAAGTTAAACGCCGGGTCAGCTCTTCCCAAAAATCGGCCATTTGATATAAACTTTTTCAATATATTTCGGATGGACATGAAACTTGCTACATCAATATAACTTTCCGTTCCGAACAATCGTATGTTTTTTATTTTTGAGATTTAACCGTTTTTGGCGGGAAAATGACGTCACGAAATCTCCAGTTAAAATTTATTTTCAATATCTTAATAGTTTTTAAGCAGAATGTGGAAGATCATGTCATGAAGAGTTGAAAACTGAAAACAGATTTCAAATATCTTAATCTAATCACGAGGTACAGGGAGTTTAGAATCGAATTTTCCACCATTTTGTTACTATTTATAGATTTTTCATGGTTTTTATAGTGAAATAACTTTGGATTAGGTTTAGATATTTAAAATCCGCTTTCAGTTTTGAACTGCTCATGATATGTTCTTCCAAATTCTGCGACAAAACTATTAAGATATTGAAAATAAATTTTAACTGGAGGTTTCGTGACGTCATTTTCCCGCCAAAAACCGTTAAATCTCAAAAATAAAAAACATACGATTGTTCGGAATGGAAAGTTATATTGATGTAGCAAGTTTCATGTCCATCCGAAGTATATTGAAAAAGTTTATATCAAATGGCCGATTTTTGGGAAGAGCTGACCCGGCGTGGTTTGTATTTTAGTGTTGGTTGAGTTAAAAGGAACTCAAAGAAAACATATTAGTACACTGAGTCTAAATTGATATTGTTGTATTGATTATTAATTAAACAGTTAAAATAACTTAAACATGTTTATATAATTGCTATTATAAAGAAACCAGCTGTTCAAAAATCAAAAGATAATTGGCATCATCATTACTGTCTTTGCCAGTGTAGTTAGTGCCAATCAAAGGAACAAGCATTCATTGGTAGGGATGCAACTATCTGAAAAAGATATAAGAAAAAAATTGAAATTATCCTTATATATTTTTTAGGTACAGTAGTTGCATCTCTGCCAATGAAAGCTTGTTCATATTCGTTACTGTATGTTGTCAGTTGTGTATTATAAAAAAAAGTGAATTACAAAATGTGCTGTGCATTTTAAACTCACATATATTGGGTCACTTTTGACAATAATTAGTGCCAATTACCTTTTGAATAAATAGACTGAGGAGAGACCCTAACTTGTAAAATTAGTACTTACTGGTACATATATTTCTTGTTTGTGTATTACTATCACAGGATTAAAGTTAAAGCACTCTGTGTTTTGTTCAATTTTAAGTTCAATAAAAATGTTTGGTTCATACTTGCCTAAATGATATGTAAAAATCAATTAAAACATTTACAATGGAATTGTCTTAGAAATGCATCTACTGTACCATATGTTTATTCAATACCAGCATTCAGTAAAAACGGAGTTCTGTAAGGGATTTGTGTTGTTTATGAGCTGGTTGAGAATATGGTCTTCCACATCTATATTAACGTCATCTACCACAACTGTAGTTAGCCCTTCATCATCTGGTGTTGGTGCATATGGATCAAATCCAAACCATTCAAGGTCGTCAAAACCAGTTTCTGAATCAGCAACATTTGCAACTGCTGATAGTTGGTGGTTTCTGATATCTAACATGCCATTAGTCCACATTTGAAGAGGGGACCAATTTCGCTCTGTGCGCATTGTATGTTGATTCCAGGCTGAAACAAATGATTCGAGTGCTCTGTTTATTCTTGGAGTATATATCAAATGCAACACAAACATGTGTAACCTGTTGTCACGGTGAAGGATACCAGACTCCTCCATGGCTTGGAATGTGTAATAAAACATATGGCACACAACACAAAATACATCTCGCCAGAGTCTCTCAATCCTTTGATTGTGCACTGATGTACCAGCTATGTAGCTAC